GACCACTGTGACTCCCGTTTTCTTGGAACCACATGAATCAGACTTACCCAATTACTATCCGATATCATATAGATTACATTAGCATCAAGGAGTTTTTGAATTTCTTTCTTTACTACTTCCATCATCGGTGGATTTAATCGGCGTTGTCCTTCTCGTGATGGCTTTACTCATTCTTCGACTTTGATCTTGTGCATACAAGTCGAGGGACTTAATCCTTTATTGTCGGCAATGGTCCATCCTATTTATTCTTTGTGAGAGCGCAACACTGCTACCAAATCTTCCTCTTCTCCTTCGGAAAATTTACTTGAGATGATCACTAATAAGGTTCCATTTTCACCCAAAAAGGCATATTTTAAATGTTTCGATAATTGCTTAAATTCTACCTCAGGTGCATGCAAAACAGAAGGTAAAATTTTAGTTTTAAAGAAATATAAAGATAAATCAGAATTGATTGAATTAATATTTTCAAACTCCCTTTCTTCCTCTTCGTGACAAAGTTCAAGATCCTTAAAAGGATTATAAGAAAAAATAGATTCAATATATTAATCAATTAAAGGATCTATAATATAATAGAATTAATTCTTTCAACATGATCAGGGCATTTCATTGATTTGTAAACATCAAATTCAACAATCTCACCAACAATTCCATTGTCAGTATACCACTTTACATCAATCTTTGTATGTGAGGTGCTTAGGAAGGGTTGGCCTATAAGTACCTTGAAATAAGTATCGACCTATCATGTTCCATGTCAAGACATAAATCTGTTAGGAAAAAATAATACATCGACCTTTACCAAGATATTTTCCATTACTCCGACTGGATAGATTATAGATCGATAAAACAACTGTATGGTTATTCCTATTTCATTCAAAGGCTCGTTAGTAATCATTTTATAAATAGAAAATGTCATAACATTGATTGAAGCTCCTAAGTCACATATTGCACGTTTAATTTTAAAATAACCTATTTTGCAATGTATAGCGAACATATTTTGATCCTTCATTTTTTGTGGGAGCTTTCATTGAAAAATTACATAGACATGTTGTCCCAAATTTAACTTTTCATGCCCTATTAATTTCCTCTTTGTAGTACAAAGTTCTTTTAAAAATCGAGCATACATTGGTACTTGTCGAATTACTTCAAGAAGAGGTATGTGACCTGAACTTTTTGGAAACACCTCTAAGACCTCCCTTTCTTCAGCTCTTTTATAATGCTTCATCAACCTTGATGGGAAGGGTAGTGGCGTGATCTCATAAGAAGAAAGAGAAGGATGTGAGTCAGACGTACCTTGTATTTCTGAAGGTGGTGTGTCTTCTTGTTCTTTCTGATGTGCAGCTTTTTCTGTTGGAACTTCGGGTTAGATAACTTTTCCACTTCGGAGTGTGATGGCACTAACATTCTCTTGGATTTAACTCCATTTGAGAATGTAGTCTTCCATGTAATTCTAATTTCCCATAGTTTGAGCCAGTCAGCTTACTTGGTTATCTAAATCTTAAAGATATGTTTTGGTTCGGCTTTGGAATTTTTCCTGGGATGCAATGAACCTTTCTTGTGAAATTACTAACTTTCCTATGAGTTCATCCAATGATGATTTTTGCATTTTCTGTTGAGGATGTCTTAATTGATAAGTTGGTCTTTGATTTGTCGCATAGCTGAAGTTTTGGTGGTCTCGCCATCCTGGATTATAAGTATTGTTGTATGGGTTGTATTGTCTTTGTGGAGGACCTGGAAAGTTCCCTACGACATTGATTTCTACATTGCCTCCTTCTTGTATCAGCGGGAAACAATCTATCGGATGGTCTAGCTTTGTTCATATCCCACATGCTCTTGTTGCTTCAGATTTTCCTGCAACAAGTGAATTAACCATTTCAATAATTTGTCTAACTTATTCTCAAGGAAAAAGTACTTATCTCGTGAACCCATCGGATGGGTTCACTTAGAAACTGTTGAGAGTTGCCTGCCATGGTTGAAATCAATTATCTTGCTATTTTTGGGGTCATGTTGACTAATGATCCTCCACTGGCGTCATCCACCATTTTCATCTCCATTGGTAAAAGGTATTCATAAAAGTATTAAAGTAACGTTGCTCACTTAATCCGTGTTGCGGACAACGTGCGAAAAGTTTTTTAAATCGTTAACAATAGTCATAAAGACTTTCTTCGGTCTTTTGTTCAATGAAAAGAATGCTCATTCGTAACTCGCATGCTTTAGCCGCTAGAAAGAACCTGTCAAGAAAATTCGATTCATGTCAGCCCATGCATTAACTGAATTTGGAGGTAAATAAAATAATCAATATTTAGCTAAATCGGCTAAAGAGAAAGGGAAAGCTCTCAATTTAATTTGATCTTCGGTAACTCCCTATGGTTTCATACTAGTGCAAACCATGTGGAATTCGAACAAGTTTGTACGGATTTAGTGGGAAAGCCTGGAAGGTGGGAAGAAAATGAATAAGTCTCGTCTTTAATTGAACAGAATCTCGCCACTAGGAAAATTGATGCATAATGACGTATGAGTGGTAGGTGCTATGGCTAGCTCTCGGATCGTTTGTTCTTTTTCTGCCATCGGGATTTTATCTTCGTTGTATACATCTGCTTCTAAGTTTGTCTCCGGATTTGATTCTGTTTCTGAACTTTGCTCTTGTTCTTCTTGTTTTTTTTTCTCTTTTCTCGAAGCGTTTGTGTGTGGATTCTTCATGCTCGTGCTTCGATCTCCAGGTCTAGATCTTCTAATTCACCTGGGTTTTTCTGGTCATAAATCAAAAACTAGAAAAATAAATCAGTACTTGTCATTAGTTCCCCGACAACGACGCCAATTTGATAACCATCGTTTTGTTATCAAAATAATTTCAGCTTCTTAAATAGAAAGGAAAAAGTAGTATAGAGAAGTAGGGTCGATCCACAGAGACTATGGTGTTTCTGATTCAGTAAAACTGATTCTTGATTTTATGAGGAGATAGAATTGCATGTAAATTAGAAAAGATTTAATAAAATAAAATAGATAATAATCAATAAAAGGAAAAATAAAATAATAAATAATAGTAGTAAAATTAAAAAAAGAATTTTTAAAATAAAAGATAAGAATTAAATAAAAGAAATAATTAAATAAATAATTTAAAGATATTGAGATAAAGAGAAACTTATAGTGAAAGCAGCCTCAGACTTCAGATTTGCCTAAAATTCCTCGGATCATTGAAACAAATTTTTACTTCAAGATTCACGTCGACTTACAAGGATAATTCTTCGCCACCAACTCGGATTGTGTCGCTTCAACAATAACTGATTTCGATCTCAGTTTCCTCTTAGCAAACAATTTTACTAAGTGTGTTCTCGGGAAGTTAAATATGCTTCAATAAGCAAATCCTTCTTCAAACGTTAACCATAACAATATCTGGACCAATGTCGAAATCGTTTTGATTTGAAAAGTAAGCTAAGAAAATAGAGAGAAAAATCTGAAGCGATTTAAGTACCTTACAATTCTCACGTTTGGAATTGAGCATTCGCTTTAGCCTTCGGGTTAAAAGAAAATTAGCTAAACATGACCAAAGTCATACTCAGCATAATTGAAAACGTAATTCTAAAAGAAAATAGGAGAAGTAGGCGTAAAATAGAGAGAAAGCTAGAGAGAAAAATATGATTTAATTCTGAGATGAGAGATATATATTTCTAGGCTCACCCTTAGAGGGTATTTATAGCCTTTAAATTCCTAAAAATAAGCTAAAGATAATTCCTAAAATAATATCTTTTATCCTTATAAAAATACTTAAAACTATTTAAACTAAAATACCTAAAACAAAGATAAACTAAAATACTATTTAAAATAATATCCTAAACCCAATTGAAATACTAAAACCCATTTAAAATAAAATACAAAGATAAAATATAATTTTAAAATATTATCCTAAATTGAGTTTGATTCAAATCTGTATTCCAAAAACGTACGACCAATTCATTCGTTCTTATAGAAAAGCTGACTGGATCTTTTAGAAGGTGTTGACGTCATCACCCCGTCGGATATTTCATGCTCGAATTCATGTCCATTAGTCCAGCTTCGATTCCGAAAATAAAAAAATGTAGAATTCTGTCTTTTTAGTACAATTTTCAAAATCTAACGTCCTGAATAGAAAATGAATGAAAATGAGCAATTAAGCCACAAAAACCAGATTAAAGAGTATTTTAAAAACAAAATGTTGACTTAATTAAACACTTATCATGATAACATATTATTCATATGTTTCAAACTGTCTTTTTTTGTTAAAAAATTAATAATCGCCTGAGTTGGATGTTAACATAATGATTGAGATATGATAAAATTGATGTCTACTGACAGTGCTATTGTTTTTAAATAATTTTTCAACGACATAATATTTCAAGCACTAGATCGAAAAGATAATATAAAATAGAGACTCAATCAGAATATTTTGTTAACATTGATTATGTTAAGGTCCTAACGGAAGGGCCATGGACGATTTATGGTAGCTATCTAACAAGGGTCGGTTCAATGAGTTTTAATGCCATGGGTGAGATAATAATTTTATGCCCCTATACTTGTACTGTATAATAGACAAAACATAATTCCTAATCAGAATATGATTTAAACAGTTGTTAGAATATGATTAAAAATGATCCTAATCAAAAGCTAATTCACAGAAATATTTTGTCAAACAGTTGGTGTGCATACAGAAACATCAATATTTCAATTAAAATTGATCCTAATCAAAGGTTAAATCCATGACTTTGATTCATTAAACTCGAAAAAACATAATTCTCAATCAGAATATGAAGCAAAATAGATCAAACACTCAAAATTTGAACAAAAGATTCAAGAACAGTAAACACATCAAGTGAGTTCTTTTCACTAAAAACACATAGGAAAGTCAACATACCAGAGACAGATTGATGATTATCAGTGAAGCATTTTCACGAAATAGATTGATGATTATCGGTGACCTAAAACTCCAATACCAATCAAGCACAAGGGATTAAGGCCTAAGGCAATAAAAACCAAATAAGTATACCGTGAGTAGAGTCTAGTTCGACTCATCTGTCAGAAAATGTGTGCATGTACAGAGACAAATAAAGCAAAAGCAAAAGACTAACAAGGAATGTGATCGTATAAAATTGTAAAGCGGCATATGATTGTGAAATTTAAAATATAAACTGTTAAATTTTCAAATTTGACAGGTTTAGTAAAAAGAAACTCAGTTTGTTAACCAAGAGCTTCAAAAAACCAAAAATTCCCAGCCTAAAAATCAATAAAAGATGGTCATTTAAAGTGAAATGGGTGGGAGGGCAAGGCTGAAAATGCTAGGCATATCTAGAGACAAAAATGAAACATAAATACGAATAAGGCAATCAAAATCATTTCGGTTTGCTACGAATGTTGAAATTGGAGAGAAAAGAACTTGCATAGAAATGTTGCTCCATTACCATTTCAGATAAACTTAGATCATAAAGGTCCTCATCATGTGTCCAATCATCCACATTAAACTCTGGATACGAACGACCACCATTGGAATAAAACCATTGACCTTTCTCGATTTTTCGACAATTAGGGCATTGCATTGCACCCTTTACATTGAATGTCGAACCAATACAATCTGGGGACAATCAATTACAAAATGTATGATGATCAATTCAAACATCGAAAATAGATGCTAAAAATAATTTCCTAAAGCTATATCCCACCAACCAATACAACAATCTAGTCTTAAATCCTTGACATTCAACTAGTAGCCATCTCCAAAACTGCAGCTCGTCAAAATACATCAACAGAACTAACGAAACAGGCAAAATTTAAAAGCAATTCACAGAAAAAGGGGCAATGAATTGAAACATCAAAGCTTCATCATTCTTCAGGAAACAAGAGTTTTCATTTCCATCTAATAAAGAAGCATAAACAATAAAGAATTTTGATTTTACTCATCTATATCTTCGATGAAACCAAAACTAGACACACCCAGGAAATCAAATGAGCAAACTTGAGCCCAGATCTTACCATCGCAATTTAAAAAAAAAATCCAACAATTCTTTAAGGAAATTCCTAATCTTGACAAACATGACTTACCCAAATGAAACTGATGACCGCATTGAAGCTTAGCCCACGACCGATCTCCATTATCAGCAACCGTTTCGAGGCAAATCGAGCAAGAAACCGAACCGACAGACTCCCCTCCATTGCCGCAGCCACCACTGCCACCGTCGTCCACCACAACATCGGTCCCACCAATACTCCCTAATCCCATAATTTTAAAACAGTTATAAACTTAAAAACTTCAAATCAACCCATCCAAGCCAAAATCTCAAAACCTAAATTTTACTAAAATAAAATTGACCCTCTTCCCCCTTTCATTTTCCCAACCCAACCGCAGATTTCAATCGGATTAAATTATTTAAAAAAAATTACTCGTCTTCTTAATTCCTTTGCTATTTACCAAAAAAAAGACAGAGAAAATGGATTTTTTAAAAAAAGCTTCGATTTTGTTTGGGCCAAATGATGCCCTCAAAAATGCTGTTCTGGGCTAAAGATTCATTTGGTACATGGATTGGGTTGGCCCTGTATCTAACGGTGCAACCTTGGAGTCGGTCGTTCTCGACAGTAGAAAAACACCCTTCCCAAGTTATTTTTTGGGTAAGATTGTAGGGGCTCCCCTACCAATACTAGTCGAAAGCCTTGTTTCGTAGGATTGCATGAACAGTCGGTAGGGTTGTGCATGTGGATTATAATACTCAAGAGGGTGGTAGAGGGAAGTTTACGCGACTTGCAACGATTGTCGACCTCAACAAGCCACTAAAGTAGTGCATCGGAATTGATGGCTTCTTTCAAAAACTAGATTATGATGGATTAAGTAGCATATGCTTCTCGTGTGGAATCTATGGCCACGTGATGCATGACTGTGGGAAGGAAGCTGGGGGCTCGGGTCAGGAAACGAGTAAGGAGAATATCGAGATAAAGGAAATTGCTGGTCCGTCTATGGAAGCTCAGGGGGAGACATTATATGGGCCATGGATAATTGTAGAGAAGCAGAAACGTAAGCCCAGAGGTGTGGCAAAGGAAGGTCAAATGGTTGAGAAACCATATGGTGGCGCTGGCTCCTCACGGTTTGAGGTTTAGCTGGGGAAGCAACGGAGGAGGGGCAGAATCTCGCAAGGGATAATGAGTTGAATAAATCGAAGGCACCACAGGACGATAGAGGAGCTAAATCTAAGGGTTGGAGTCTACGGCGACGATCAGAGTTTTAAATTGTGGTAGCGATCGCGTTTTCGGTCATTTCGGATTTACCGGTTATCGCGAGTGTTATTACAGCCGTCGCGGGCGCTATTGGACTCTATTGCAGGTGTATCGGGTAACTATCACATTTTCGGACCGTGATTTGAAACCCTGACAATAAATCCAACACAACACACGGTTAATACGAATATGGCCTATCTCGCTTCTAACCCGACTAGGAAGCAAAAACAAAGAACTAGGGGTTTGGAGGGAGTTCATGTTGTCCCTACAGTGGAGGGTTCCTCGACTAAAACTACTGTCCATGCACCTAGTCATGGCTCAGGTAACCACAATGCAGTGTCCATCATGGAGAGAGGTATAAGCAGTAAGGGCAAGGAAGGAGTACTAGTGCAACAACACCAGGGAGGGATGGGGAAATATGTGAAGGAACGAACCCATGTAGGTCCCAAAGGGAGGTTAGCGACTAGTGGTCACCAGATTACCCTAAAGGAATGGGTACAGAGCTTAGCAGATTAGGTTTGAGGATTAGACCCGATAGTTGATCCGCCATTGAATGCCAGATTGAAACTCATCTAATTGCGACTGGATTAGTGAGTGATGATGACAATATGGACGATCTTGAAGATATGGAGGTCCAGGGTGAGGGGGCTCTTGCATGAGCCTGTTATATCTCTTATTATCTTAATAATGATTGATTGTATGTTTGGAACTACAAGGAGCAACAAGTCCTACATTTTGTCGAATTTTCAAATATTTGTGCAGGAATTCAAACCGAAAGTTGTTGCACTCTTCGAAACACGTATTAGTGGTTGGAAAGCTAACAAAATTATCAAAATCTTGAATTTTGTGAATTCCTTTCGAGTAGAGGCTCATCGATTTTGTTGTGGTATTTGGCTATTATGGGATGACACGGTGGATATGGAAATATCCACTATTGCTAGTCAATTTGCTCATGGCAGATTCAAAAGTGTCAATAAACAAGATTGGACTTTTTTCACTTTGATCTATGCGAGCCTGGATGGAGCAGTACGTAAGCATTTATGGTCGCAAATTTTATCTCTTGATCCTGACAGTGCGGAACCGTGACTTCTAGGGGAAGATTTTAACTCAATTGTATCTTTGGATGAACGACGAGGAGGTTCGACAAAAGGTACTCTCGGTAGCAAAGCTTATGTAAATTTTATCAACACAATGGGTTCGCTGGATATGGGCTACTAAGGATTTCCATTTACTTGGTCAAGGGGGAACTTGCACCAAAACCAAAAGAAAAAAAAAAGTTCTCTCTAAATCTTCTTTCTTTCGAGGTCGCCGTTTTGTTCCTATGCAGGAAGAGTCTTCGTCGGTTTTCGGGGTGACCCAGGCGGTGGAAGGGGGAGGAAAAGTGGAACGAAAGTTCAAAAGAATCCGAACAACGGGAGGGGATAACATTTCTGAAGAAGAGGCTCCAAGGAAATCATGGAGGGATACCTTAATAAGCCCCTCTCTTCTGTCGGTAACTTTCAAATCCCGATTGAAGTTGAAGATGAAGATTCAGACAAAGAGAAAGATTGGGAAGGGGATGATATTCCGACAATCAAGTCCCCCAAGAATTAAAATAAAAACTGAGAAAAACTTGGAAAAAGGCTCTCATCATCAAGATTTTAGGCAAAACTGTTGCTTACAAAACCCTTATCAGCAGGGTGACAACCCTATGGAAATTAGAGGGTGAGTTCGAGTGTATTGATCTTGGCTAAGGATTTTATGCAATCAAATTCCAAAACATGGTGGTTAGAGCAAAGATCCTTATGGAAGGCCCTTGGAAGATAATGGATCACTACATCACGGTTCAAAGATGGCGCCCCAATTTCGTGGTAGCAAATGCGAGTATTCCCTCCACGACAGTCTGGATCCATATCCCTGGTCTTCCAATTGAATATTTTGAGGAAAGTGTTCTGTGTAATTTAGGAAGACTAGTTGGAAAACATCTGAAAATTGATTATCATACAGCTTGGTCAACAAGAGGACGTTTTGCAAGAATATGTGTTGAAATCGACCTTAATACCCCTCTACTGTCTAAAGTGCGTATAGGAAATAAAGTTTACAATATTGAATATGAGGTCATGCATTCTATTTGTTTCAAGTGTGGTGTAGTGGGTCATAGAGCCACGGATTGTCTAGTTAATCAGATGGAGAATCCCATTACTAGGGAAGTTAACAGAGAAACAAAGAATCAAGACCAACAAGAAATGCAAGAAGAGGAAGAAAACAAGAAAAATCAACGGGAAGAGAAAGAGGTTACCCAGGACAGATACGGACCTTGGATGTTGGTTCAAAGGAGACAACATGGATCTAGAATCAACCTGAAAAACCAAAGAAGCAGAAACCAACAAGTACGCCAAAATAACAGGTTTGACAGTTTGAACATCATTGATAAGGAAGAAACCAACAATAGAAAAGATAATAAACACCAATCTCAAGAAATAAAGGAAAATACTAGTGAGACTGAAATATCCACAAAGGAAAATAAGTCTACCAGACGAGAAGAAAGTAGCAATGAAATTAAAGGTAACAATGTGGTATGGAGTTTAGGAGAAGGGAAATCTAGGATAAGATACAAAAAACCTCAATCTCCTATATTGAATGCTAAAAGAGATTAATAGGGTAGAACTCAAGGGAATAATCATAGAAGGGAGAGTAACCAAAGTACTATTCTGGAATCAAACATGGAAATGGAAAAGACGATGGGAAAAAGGACAAAATCTTTATGGATGTTGAAAATGATATTACTCAACATGATAGTCTGGATGCGCTGGAAATGGAAACCGAACCAGTTGGCCAGGAACAAAACTGTAAGGATAAACGAGAATATGGCCATAGAGGCACATACAAATAATAATCTACCTGAATGAAACTGATCTCTTGGAACTAACGAGGTGTAGGAAATAATGATTTTATCAGAAATTGTAGAGAATTGATTCGGGATGAAAACCCAACCATTATTTGCCTCCTTGAAACGAAAGCTAAGGTAGGTATTGGTTCCTCGCTTCAGAAGAAATTGAAATTTGATACCCACTTTGAGGTCCCTGCTCAGGGCCTTCGGGGAGGATTGATTATTCTTTGGAACACTAATCTTCATGAGGTTACAATTCAGCATCATACTGATAAGGTTATTTACTGCGATATACAAGAGAATGGTAAGAGATGGTTGCTCTCCATTGCCTATGTTCAACCGCATTCGACTAAGAAAGAGGAATTTTGGGAGGACATTTACACTTATTTTAGAAATGTTGACCAACCTTGGATGATTGTGGGATATTTTAATGATTTTTTCCACGTTGGATGAGCAGGTAGGTAGCAACTCGGATTGTATAGATCGTATTCTAAAATTTCGAGAAAACTGGAATAGATGTAATCTGTTGGATGCTGGTTATGTTGGCAGCAAATTCACCTGGACTAGACATCTTCAAGGGAGAGTTATTCTACAGGAAAGACTCGACAGAATGCTTTATAATATTGATATGGTGGACTTTTTTCCTAAACTCAGAGTTGTTACCCTTACCAGAATTTATTCTGACCACAACCCGATTCTGGTAAACATGGAATTGGAGATTCCTATGGACAAAGATAAACGCCCATTTAGATTTGAAGCTTCTTGGCTTACCCGTGATGAGTTTAATACGGTGTTTAGCTCAGCATGGGACAAAAAGAAAAATTCTCTTGTTGATGCGGTAGAAGAAGTAAAAAATGCGATCATAAAATGGTAGGAAACTACTTTCGGGAACATATTTAAACGCAATAAAGCCTTGCTCAAACGAATACAAGGCATCCAAAGATCCCCTCACTACTTCCATTTAACTTTCCTTCAAGAATTGGAAAAGGTCCTTGACTCTGACTATCAACAAGCTTTGACTCATGAAGAAATTATTTGGTGTTAAAAATCTAGACTGGATTGGATCTTGAAAGGCGAAAGGAACACGAAGTTTTTTCATCTTACTACTATGTTAAAGCATAGATATAATAAAATAATTGGTCTATACATTGGGAACAATTGGATAACAGATAAACAAACTCTATGCCTTCATGTATGCAATTACTACAAAGACTTGTTCGTTGGGAAAGAATATGTACAACTCTCTATGAATTATG